CCGATCTCCCCAAAACCCCAAAACCCCAAAACCCCTAATTTGAAAAATAATTGAACTAATAGGATAAAATGTAATTCAAATGAAAAGAGCAAAACATTTAAATATAATTTTAAAAATGAAATCACACTTTTTAAGTAGTACAACTGGGCAAAAGATAAACCCGAATAACTGCAAAAATGACTTTGATTTCTATCTCAAGCATTATTGCTGGTATCAAAATGAGAAAGGAGATGTATACACTTGGGGTTCAGGAGAAATGGGACAACTTGGCTATAATGGGAAAGTTATTTCTATGATGCCTAAAGATCGTGAGGGTTATCCATTCTAGGTAAAAAATTTAAATAGTTATCATAAATTTAGCCGTATCCTTTGGAAATTGATTAATTAAAGAATAAGGGAATTTATCAGGTTGCTGGTGGAGATGGTCACACTGTAGCTGTAGATATCAAAGGAAATGTCTACTCTTGGGGAGCAAGGTAAGATTTCACTCTCTAATTAATTAATTCTCTTTATATAGTGCCTGTGGGTAATTGGGTCTTGCATCAATGAAAGATTTACCGACAGATGTAGAAGGGTATCCATATTAACCTACACCTAGAATCGTGGAACTCCTTTAGAATGTTAAGGTTATTCAGATTGCTTGCGGTGATGCCCATACAGTTGCACTCTCTTAAGAAGGTAAACTTTATTCTTGGGGAGGAGGTGGTTGTGGGTAGCTTGGCCACCCTGATACTTCAGCTATGCCAAAAGATGAAGATGGATGTCCTTATCAGCCCAAGCCTAAGTTAATAGTCGTCCTCAAGGCTCTTGAAGTTAGATAAGTTGCCTGTGGTAAAGCTCATACTGTGGCAGTCTTAGCCAATGGCCATTTATACTCCTGGGGTGCAGGGGCTTGTGGTTAACTTGGTCATCCAGATACCTCGAGTTTTCCTGCTGATGAAGATGGTTACCCTTATCAACCTATTCCAAGATGCGTTACTGTATATTAATTTCTGATCTAATCTTTTTTGATAGGCTCTTAAACAATACAAACTAATTCATGCTTCATGTGGCGATGTTCATACAATGGTGCTGACAGATTAAGGTGAGATCTACTGCTTTGGTGGTGGCTCTTGCGGTTAACTTGGATTTGGAAATATTGCTTAAATGCCGCTTGATGTAGATTCTTGCCCATTTATGCCAGTTCCGAAAAAGGCAAGTAAAATTCATAGTTTCTTAATCTATCATAGATTGAGAGTCTCTAGGGTGTATTCATAGTCTCACTGTCATGTGGAGATTCACATTCAATGGCGTTATCAAGAGAAGGTCATGTCTATGCCTGGGGTGAGGCAACTTATGGGCAATTAGGTCTAGATGACATTCGAGACTTGCCTAAGAACTCAGATAACAAGCCTTATCAGCCATTCCCTTAGAAAGTATTATCTCTATTAAACAAGAAAATTGTCGCAATTTCTTGTGGCGAAACTCATACACTCGCTTTGACTGAAGGTGGACATTTATATTCCTTCGGAGGCAACACCTGTGGGTAGTTAGGTCAGTATGTGAAAGAGCAAGAAAAAGGTAGACGCAAGAGAAGCTTTGAGGACATAGTATTCCCTAAGAACTCAATAGACAGTAATCCATATTCCTTCATGAGTAACAGTAATGACTCACCACCTGATACTCGTAAGTTTATTGATATTGTTAATAATTATAGCAGCAAATGAGCGTAAAAACATGGGATTCGATACTTCTCAGTAGATGACTCTGCAAAGCATGGATGACTGCAACCCTCTGAACTCTCCTCCTTCGTTGTTCACACCTCAACCCTAGGACTATGGAATCGATTCACAGTGCATGCAGCCTAGACTTATCAAATCACTCATGCACAGGAAAATAATCAAGATCTCCAGCGGAGGAGTGCATAACATTTGCATCGTAGACCCATATCCCTCCAGTATAATGTAAGATGTCTATCAAAGCTTCATGCAGTCTAAATATACCGATGTTATATTCAAAGGTTTCTACACTACCTTCGAAGTAAGAATATTTCTCATTTCAAATTTTCTATTAGAATAATAACATGAGTTCATCGATGAGCTCAAACCATCCATCTTCTAGTGGAATAAATTAACAAGAGCACTAGAATCATTCCAATTAGCACAACTATGGCTAGAATATTGAAGGTAGCAGTGATGAAGACATGAAAGACGATTATGACATTGAAAACAACGATGTCCTCAATTCTTAAAACCCCTAAATAGTTAATGATCAATATTGGCGAGAGAAAGAGAAAACCATTGTCAGCACCAGAATCAATGCACATCAGTGCGTCATATCTCACAAGTCACCCTACTTCTATCAGTTCTTCCTCGACAAGCAGTCTTAGAAGCCGCCCAATGGTCAAGATGAAAGCAAATTGATAGTCGATTTCAATGGATAGGTGCAGTACGAAGCATTCAGAAAGATAGTAGATTATATCTATTTGGATGATTTGAATGTACTAGATGCTGTAGCTGACTCTACCGAAATGATAGAGATCATCAAACTTGCAAAACAGTACAATCTAGAAGCACTTTTTAAGGCCTGTGAGGTTCATTTCAAGGAATTAATGGTCTAGTCATTCGATTGCACCAACCTCATAGCACTCAAGTTCAGTGGAAATACTAACCAGACTCAGCAACAGAAAACAGTCAGAAAAATAAACAAGCAAGATGAGCCTAGAGATGTCAGAAGCAGTGGCAGAGCTGTACAGTAAGTATCATAGAGTAATACAATAACCACCAACAAAAAGAATAAGAAACTGCAGTAAAAACTTAACAATATGCTCCAAGGTCTAATGTTTCTCCCAGATGGAAGAGTCCTGATTATGGATAGTGATCTATATAAGTAGACTATAGAAAGATCAATAGTTTTGGATTTATTTGATGGGACATCTTTGAATCCACAGAGCACTTCTTCACAAACCTCTACAAGTAGTGTTATGGTACCTTCTTTTGAGGAAGAAAAATCTTAGCTGCCTAGAATAGCTAAGGATAACCACTAAATCTAACAATAAAGCAAATCAAAATAGAACCAAGCCAATTAAAGAAAGAAGGGAAACTCAAGTGCTAATGATCCATATACTAATGAGAGTCTTCCAGGCTAAAATAACAATGGTGCTCATACTAGTTTACTTCAATCAGATTCAATATTTGAAGAGAACATTGAAGGCAAGAAGGATTTCTTATCTATGCTCAATAGCCCTGATTTCAGCGATATTACTTTGATTGTTGACGGTCATCCCATTTATTCTCATTAGGTAGTACTAGCCTCAAGATCAATATATTTCGAGGCTCTATTTTCTCATGATTTCAAGGAAAAAGAGTAAAAAGTAGTCAATTTCACTGATGTTCCTTATGATACATTTATGATGCTTTTGAAGCACATTTATTCAGACTCACTTAAAATTGAGACTAAGCATATTTACGATCTTTTGTCTGTAAGTAACAGATTATTTCATCTTGACTATTTTATAGCTGGCTGATAGATTTAACGTTGTCTCTTTCAAGAAAAAGTGTGAGCACATTCTCGCATAATGCATCAATGTTGAAAATGTCTGTTAAATCTTTAAGTATGCTAATACTTTCAATTGCGAAAGATTAAAGGAGAGCTGTCTGCTCTTTACTGAGGAAAATCATAATGAAGTCATTTCAAGCCCTGGCTTCGAGGATTTAGACAAGGATGAGATATTAAAGATCATAAGGGTTGGTAAAGAGTCAAAGAGGAGATTCAAGGGTAGACACTGAACAAGCATTCAGATAATATAATGAATGTGTGTGATTTATTGATTTAACCTCTAGCAACTGCTGATTTACTTCTTAAGAGATCCTATGTTGCTAAGATTCCTCCTCATATAATATAAATCTGAGATAAAGCATATTGTCTTAATTTCATTAAATTGGTTAATAAAACCCCTCTTTGGTTATAAAGTCATTAATAAGAAATAGTTATGAAATTATTAATGTTATCATTATCAATATAACTGAAATCTTATTAGATTAAATCTCAATTCTTATCTGTCTCACTTAAGCACATCTTTTCTCATGTGGGTCAGACAAGCCATGTTGCCTCTTACTTTGTCAAGGTATTCCAAGTCTATTTCACAAACAAAGCAGCCTTCCTTGTCACTCATTTAACCTATGATGTCGCCCCATGGATCCACTACCATTGAGTGACCATATGATTATCTTTTTTCATGGTGAACTCCAACTTAGTCTGCTGCAACTACGTAGCATTAGTTCTCAATTGCTCTGGCTCAGAGTAGACATTCCCAGTGTGAAGAGCCAGTTTTCAATAGAAAGGCACTTGAGACTAGTAATACCTAAGCACCCTTGGTTACATACTGCCTATATAATTCAGGATACCTGATGTCGTTAGACTGAAAAGTAGTTTTAACAAAAAGATATTATTACAATAGAAGGCCCCAAATATCCTATTGGTGATTGAATTGGGTCAGGAATGATGCTTCCTGGCTATATGTACTTGCTTTCATTAATTGGACTGCCTCCAGGAATTCTGTAAGTCAAATCTACATCAAACAAATGCACTTTTCGATAGGTTTAGACTATATTTCCTTCCTCGTCAATGATGACATGAGTGTCTATATTAATAGAATTAAGGAGACATGTAATCAAGAGGGATATTGCTATTACTGTATCTTTTGAGGAAATTCTCACTTAGCTCTTGAAAACCCCCAAGTGACAGCCAGACTCTATTGTCAAGTGCAAGTTTTTTGTACCTCTTGATGATGGCACCATTTAGACTTTGAGCAGACTTGACTCCTTCCTCGTATGTCATTGTCATCAGATTAAAGTTTTCGGGCAGGCATATTAATTTAGCACCCCTTTCAGCACACTATTCAATATACTTCTTATTCCTAGCAAAGTTTGCTTCCATATCAGGGGTAGAACAGACCTAGATTACTCCAACTAGTGCCTTGTAGCTCTCTCTGCTACGGTTGAACAATTAATGATGGAGTGCTAGTCTGTTGATCATTACAAAATAAATTATTTTAACTTAATTATTTATTTTACTTCTTTGAATTTTAGACATTCGGGGTTTTGGGGTTTTGGGGTTTTGGGGTTTTGGGGTTTTGGGGTTTTGG